CCCCTTATCAGCCCAAAGATTCCTACTTTTCTTTCTCCGCCCAGGGACCCCTGGTGCTTATGTGATGTATGTTTTCCTGCGTTTGGGTTGTGCCCCTCCTTTCTGGCCAATTCCTGCTATTTGGTCTGTGTCCCCCTTTCTCTGCTCATTTCTAGCTATCTGCCTGCTCTAACATTACTACTCTAAGAACCCCTACGGTTTTAGCCTGATGGCTTGTGTCCCCTTTTTGCTGTTGTTCCTGGAGCTATTAGAAATTCATTCTTTTAAAAATAAATTTTTTTTCTGCCAGTACAATGAGATTTCGAACAGATGGTGAATAAGTACATATTCTCATTCCAACTTCTTTGAAAAAATATTATTATGAACTATAAAGACTAATGTAATGACGTACACCAGAGCAATCTGATACATAAAATGCTTGCAGTACACTTGATGTTTTCGTGTTTCCCTACCCTGAGAAGGATCCACCACTATTCTGAATTCATGTTCTATCATTTCCGTGTACTTCTTTATAATTTTCTCATATATCTATGTAACCCTAAACTTTACACACATGCACACAAATACACACACGTGTGTGCATATAGCTTATACACACATGTATGTATGCGTATGATATATATTTTTGCCTGGTTTCATGCTTTATAGAAATAGTGTAATATTGCACACATCTTTCTATAACTTACTGTTTTTACTCTGGTTAATTCATTTTCACTGCTTTTAGAGTATTCCATTTTATGGGAGTATCACAATTTATTAACTAAAACTTCTATCAACCTAGTGAACTTGTTTAACCTAATGATATTTTTTGCTTTAAATCCTACTTTGCATTAGTACTATAGCTACAGAAGCTTTTATTTTGGTTAGTGTTACCTACTTTTCAGTTCTTTTACTCTCAGTTTTTTTATGTTCTTATGTTTTAGGTCTTTCTCTTATATATAGGATAGGACTAGATTTTTTATTTTCCGGTCTCACAATCTCAGTCTTTTAACTGGTAAATTGAATTTGTGTGTGTGTGTGTGTGTGTGTGACTACCGATGTATCAAAATTTATTTCTTAAGTTATCTTTAGCTTCCTCATCCTGCTATTTCTATATTCCCTGACAGGCCCTGGGTGAAGTTGCTTTGTAAGGTTCGCGGGGAGGGGATGGGAGGGGGCGGAGTTCTTACGCGTCTGGGCCAGCTGCGCAGCTCAGGCGCCGGCTCGCCGCCGCCATCTTGGATTGAGGCGTCCTGCGCAGCGCTTCTGCACATGCGCCCTCCGAGCGGAAGTGTCTGCGCAGCCATTTTGAACTAGGAGCTCCGTCTGAAGTGCTGAGCGCAAGGCCTCCGGATGTGGACTCCTGGGAGCAAGCGAAAGAGGAAGCACAGAGGAAAAGGAAAACAAAAAAAAGAGGTTAGATTTTATTTTATTATTCAAAATGGGCCTTGCCGGTGACACTTTCTTCTGAATTTATTTGTTTTTAATTTGACTTTTAGTTCCTTCTGTTTTGAGTTTTATGCATTCATTTCTTCTTCTTTGGTGAATAACCTTAATTATTTTTTCAAACCATCAGATATGCCGAGAAAATATATTATCTTGCTACTGAGAATGTGATTCATGAAACTGTAGCATCCATATCACTCGAGCGCTTGTTAGAAATGCAGAATCTCAGGCCTCCCCGGAAACTGCTGAGTCATAATCTGCATTTGAACAAGGCCCTGCATTGGTTTATGTGCACAATAGTGTGAGAAACGCTAGTTTAATGAGGAAATATCTTCTGTATTTAGCATATACTAACATTTTGCCATAATTGCTTCAGTACTCTTTCTTTTCATGTTTAAAAGTAAAATGCAGCAAGGAAAACGCTTATTTTCTAAATGGTATGGATCTCTTAAAAATAAGGACATTTCTGCATGTTTGCAGTATTGTTATCAAACTTAACATTACCTATAATTCCCTAATATCACTTAGTACTCGGTTAGTATTCAAATTTCTCCCAAGTATTTCCAAAATGGCTTTCACAGTTACTTAGTGTGTGCTAGGATCCAATCTTGGTCTGTACTAGCTTTTTGGTCCTTGTGTTTTATGTCTGTTAAGCTTCTTTGGATCTAGAGTATTCCCCTCCTCCCTCCCACACACACCTTTTGTTTTTATGACGTTGTCTAATTAAACACAGGTGAGTTGTCTTGTAGACTGTCCTCAATTCTGGATTTGTTTGACAGCTTCCTTGTAGTCGTGTTTAACTTGTTCTTCTAGTCCCTGTATTTCCTGTAAAGTAGAAGTGAGAGATAAAGCCTTGGTTAGATTTAGGTTAAGCATTTTTGACAAGAATACATCATAGACAATGTCGTTTATTTCCCACTGCATCACGTCAAGATGCACATAATGTCTCATTACATTTAGCAGTGATGAGAATATTCATAACTGGGTTCAGATGGAGTAAACCTAATGCCTTCAACATAATGTTTAGTTTTTCCTCTTGTGACTCGCAAGTAACCTGTGGGTGATACTTTATTATTTTGCAAATATTCCACTCCTCATCAACTTTTCACCTATTGGTTTTAGGTAATCCTTGCTGAACTCTTTTTTTAGTTTGTTAAGGGCTAAACAATGGTGACTTTCTAATTATTTATTTCTTTTACATGTATTAGCTGGAATTCCTTGATAAGGAAGAGTTTCTTTTTGATTAGAACTGCTAGGTTACTCTTTTTAATTTAATTTAATTTAATATTATTTTTTAAATGGAGGTACTGGGGATTGAATGCAGGAACTTGTGCATGCTAAGCACACGCTTTACCACTGAGCTATTACCCTCCCTTCCTGTTAGGTTACTCTTTTTTTTTTAAACTATATATATATATATATATACACACAAATATTTATATATATATATTTTTTAATTGAAGTATAGCTAGTTTACAATGTGACAATTTCTGGTGTACAGCATAATGCTTCAGTCATACATGAGCATACATATATTCGTTTGAATAATCTTTTTCCCTAAATTACAAGATACTGACTATAGTTCCCTGTGCTATGGATTATTAACTTGTTTATCTATTTTATATATAGTAGTTAGTATCTGCAAATCTCAAACTCCCAGTTTATCCCTTCTCACACCCTTTACCACCTGGTAACCGTAAGTCTGATTTCTATGTCTGTGAGTCTGTTTTTGTTATGTAAATAAGTTCTTTTGTCCTTTTTTTTTTTTTTTTTTAGATTCCATATATATGTGATATCATATGGTGTTTTTCTTTCTCTTTCTGGCTTACTTCACTTAGAATGACATTCTCCAGGTCCATCCATGTTGCTGCAAATGGTGTTTTATTATTTTTTATGGCTGAGTAGTATTCCATTGTACAAATATACCACAACTTCTTTATCCAGTCATCTGTCGATGGACATTTAGGTTGTTTCCATGTCTTGGCTGTTGTAAATAGTGCTGCTGTGAACATTGAGGTGCATGTATCTTTTTGAATTAAGGTTCCCTCTGAATATATGCCTAGGAGTGGGATTGCTGGATCATGTAAGTCTGTTTTTAGTTTTTGAGGACTCTCCATGCTGTTTTCAGTAAGGGCTGCACCAAACTGCATTCCCACTAACAGTGTAGGAGGTTTCCCTTTTCTCTGCACCCTTCCCAGCATTTATCATTTGTGGACTTTTGAATGGTCACTCTGACTGGTGTGAGGTGATACCTCATTGTAGTTTTGATTTGCATTTCTCTGATATTTAGTAATATTGAGCATTTTTTTCATGTGCCTATTAGCCGTTTGTATGTCTTCATTGGAAAATTGCTTATTTTGATCTTCTGCCCATTTTTGAATTGGGTTTTTTGTTTGTTTTATTAAGTTATATGAGCTGTTAATATATTCTGGAAATTAAGCCCTTGTCAGTCTCATCTTTTGCAAATGTTTTCTCCCATTCTGTAGGTTGTCTTTTTGTTTTGCTTGTGGTTTCCTTTGTTGTGCAAAAGGTTGTAAGTTTAATTAGGTCTCATTTGTTTATTTTTGCTTTTATTTGTATTGTCTGGGTAGACTACCCTAGGAGAACATTGCTGAGATTTATGTCAGATAATATTTTGCCTATGTTTTCTTCCAAGAGGTTTATAGTGTCTTGTCTTACGTTTAAGTCTTTAAGCCATTTTGAGTTTATTTTTGTGTATGGTGTAAGGGGATGTTCTAACTTCATTGATTAACATGCGGCGCTCCAGTTTTCCCAAAACCTGTTAGGTTGCTCTTAATTGCAGTTCTTACTTAAAAGATGGTATAAAAGTTTATTTCCTGTTAACCCTGACAATCTTAATATGCATACTTAACAAAATCTAAGTTAATCCTTGGAATTTGTCTTACACATTTTTGTCAGGGTTTTAATTCTATCTTCTTTTGTTTTCCCCCCAAATTAGACTTCATTATTACTGATTTGTATAGTCAATCTCTGTTTATATTTACCAGGATCTTAGCGTATTTCTTTATCTCCTCCCTCCATTTCTTTGTATGTTCTGTGATCATTTTCCATCTTCAGGAATGTCTTTTAACATTTCTCTAGTGAAAGTCTTTTTGGTGGTAAGCAATCTTAGTCTTTGTCTTTCTGAAAAGGAAGAGAGTTTCACTGAGTATGTGGTTGTAGGTTGACCATTGTTGTCCTTCCCTCTCCTGGGCCATTCTGAATTGCTAGTCTTCGGTGTGTCACCAGATTCTGTGACTTCCTTTTGTAGGGTCCCTGTTTTCTGTATCCCATGCAGCCTCCTTTGTTGTTCTTAAAGCTCCTTTATTTTGCTGAAGCACATTCTACAGTGAGTTCTTAAGAGGCACATGAGGTGAATTTTTGGAGCCCTTGCATGTATACAAGTGTCTTTATATTCACACTTAATTTGTAATTTGATACAGAATTGGACAGGCATTGTTTCTTAAACATTTTGAAGTAATGTTGCTGTGGAGAATCAGATATCCTTTTGATGCCCGTCCTTTGTTTGTGACCTGTTTTTCCTCTCTGAAGGTGGTAAAATTCTTTAATCTACTTTGTTCCTTTAAATTTTTATTATGATATGCTGAGGTGTGAGTCTTTTTTTGTTTAAATTGGGAAGTTGGTGAGCTCTTTCAAGCTGGAGACTTAAGTTCCTCTATTCTGGATTTTTTTTGACTTGGGTATTAGTTCTTTGACAGTTTTATTCCTTCCATTTTATCTGTTTCCTTTTTCTAGAACTCCTATTTGTCATTTGATAGATATCTTTGATTTCTTATCTTCTTTTCTTTTATTTCCATTTTTTTATCTTTTATACAAGACATTCTGGGAGATATACTTAATTTTTATTATCTAACTCCTCTATTGAATTTTAAATTTGTTTGATCATCCTCTGCATTTTCAAAGAAATTAAAAAAATTCTTGATTCCTTTTTAATAGCACCCTATTTAGTTTTATGGATGAAATGTCTTTCTTGTCTCATTGAAAATAATGACAGTTTAAAAAAATATTTTATTCTACTCCTTGTATTATACTTGTTTCTAGGTTCCTTGTTTTTGATTTGGGCCTCTGTTTTTCCTACTTGAAGCTTTCAACAAATGTCTAAATATCCTTGATTCATAGCAAACAAAACATCCTGTGAAGGGAGATTGAGAATTTGCTTTGGCTGCTATTGTTTTTGAATTACCATCTCTCTTTCAACTTTAAAAAAAAGGGAGGGAAAAAATCCAGGCAACCTTGCCTTTTTAATAAGATGACTATGCTTTCTATGGGTGAATGTAAATTTAAGCATATTTTTGAGGGGGATTTTTAATAGTATTGACTAATAGGAGGTATATATCTTTGTCTTAAGTTTTATGAGGGCCAACATTTTGCCTGTACACACTTTCATGAGATTATATTATGAGTTAGGGTTGGGTTCCAGTTCTTGGGTTTTGCTGTGTGATCATTGGTATATCACTTACCTTCTCTGAACCTAAGTTTCTTCATGTGTAAAATGAAATTAATTTTTCTCACTGGGTCATTATGGGGATCAGATGTGATTGTCTTCACCCATAAATTTTCAAAAATTTCTTAAATCCCTCCATTCCACAAAGTTCTGCAAGCATGACACTTGTTCTTCCAGACATTATTCTTTCATAAAAGACCACCTTTTGGCTGAGGATTGGCAAACAGCTGCCACATTTTAATTTCTTGTGATTTCCTGGTTTATATTTCTCCAACCTGGTCTAGGAATGAAGGAATTCTTTCAATTGTTTGAATCTGGGTGAGAATCCTGAAGCCATATTCTATTTTATTCAGACTTTGGATGATCTTTTAAACACATGGCTGCATGAAGTTGCTGTCACAAACTTGATGTCAGAAAAATGACTCTAGTCCATTAAGCACCTTGAGTGGATAAGACAAGTGGCCACTGCAAGTATAAAGGAAATGCAAATCCAAGAGTGACTAAG